GGCCCTGCAGGGTGTGTGAGCTGCTGGGTCCAGAATGTCCTGTCCGCTTGTCCCTGCCCAGAGCTGGGGGAGGATTCCTGCTGAGCCCGCCCCCTTCCTCCTTTGCGGGGTGCTTGTGGGTAGGCCAACTGGGGTCAGTCTGGGACCCAAGTGTCTGGGTCTGTGATTATGGCTTGGGATTATTGGGGGCAGTGTGGGGACGAAGCTAATTTGGTGGGGGGGCATGATTAGATTGGAGAAATCATGTTAGCAACTTGTCAGGGAGTTTGGTAAGGGCAAAGGGGGGACCCAGGAGGTGAATGGGGAGCTGAGTTGGACAAAGGGGAACCTAGGAGGCAAGGTGGGGCTCATGCAGAGGGGTGGAAAAAGAGGGGAACTTGGAGATCAGTTGGGGCCTGGAGGGTGGGCATGGGAGGAAGCCCAGGAGGTAACTGGTGGTCTGAGCTGCAGGCAGAGCGGGGGAAGCCCAGGAGTTCAAGGGGTGGAGACCTCAGGAGGAAGGTGGGCAAAGGGAGGAGCCTAGGTAACTTTGGGGGGCTGAGGAGGGCAAAAAGAAGTGGGCAAAGTCCAGGAGATCTGTATGCGGGGCTGATTGCTAGAAAAAGGGGTGAACCCAGGAAGTCAGTAGGGGCCTGAGAGACAAAAGGGCACCCAGGAGGTCAGTGGGACAGGGCTGAGGGGCAGGCATGGGTGGAAGTTCAGGAAATTATTGCGGGGGAGGGAATCCAGAAGGCTAGTGGGGGCTGAGTTTTAGATAAAGGGGTCCAGGAGAGGCAAGGCAGGAATGTGTGACTTCTGCCTCAAGTGGCCTGGCTGAGCCAGCCTTCTGTGACCTGCCTGGGTGCTCAGCTGGTGCTGGTCCCAGACACAGCCTTGGTTACGATGGCCACCCCCAGGGCAGCCCTGTTAGCTGGGCCCCAGACATTGCTGGATGCAGGGGTGTGGTCACTGCCCATCCACCCTGTCTTCCTGAGCTGGTCCTTGGCCCGGGGCTGCCAGGGGGCGGGGCCAGGGGTGGAGAGTGGGCAGTGTGGCTTGGAACTGGCCAGGCAGGAGGGCTGGGGGAGCAGTTGGCCTGGTCTAGCTGTGTGTGTGTGTGTGTGTGTGTGTGTGTGGATCCTGTGGGCGCTGCCATGGCGACAGCCCCATAAACCAGGCCCCATAAACCAGCCCCCATGCTGCTGCATGCTGGCAGTTAGCCATCTGCCTGTCCTCCCCACCAGTCAGAACCTCCTACTGCGGGATCCCCCACCCCCGCCCTATTTATAACCGGTTCCTTGGTATAATATACAGTGCTTGGTGGGAATGGGTGTGTCTAGGGGGGAGGGACAGGTCCCGGTGGGAGTCACTATGGCCCAGTCAGGAGAATTGGTGCTTGCTTTTTTGGGGACACCAGCAGGAAAACGAAGTTGGAACCCTAGTTGTGTTGGGGTATCAATGGGTGTGGCCCCCACGTGGCACAGCAGCTCCTCCTGGCCCTGGGCAGCTTCCGTAACCGCTGGGCTGTTCGTGGGCGTGGACTCTTCTCCCCTTTGTGTGGCCACCCCGAGTGTCTGCGTGGGCAGAGGCGCGCCCGCCTGGGGTGGCCGTGAATAGTAACTCTGAGTCCCTGTGGCAGCTGGCTGGGTGCAGAGATAGAGAAGCCCGTCTCAGAGCTCTCTACCCTATGCCTTGCCATGGGGGGTGGGGGGATGGGGACACTGACTGGGCTGCCCCGGCTGTCCTGGCATGACAATTGTCAAGGAGGCTCTGGGCCAGGGATGTGCAGGGGGCTCTGCCTGCTCCCCTGCCCATGGTACAGCTGGCAATCACACTGCCGACCATGTGTGCTGGCAGCTGCTGCTGCCACTCCCCCCCCCACAGACCTCTGCCGCTGAGACTCCCACCCCCACAGCCTCAAACCCCACCGGGGATCTTAGCTCCCGCCCTTCCAACCTCCAGACTCAGCCCCAAGCGGCCACCCAGCCACCCCTCCAGCTCCCTGGACTCCACCAAACCTGGAGGCCCCATCTCCCTTGGACAGTCTCAGGATCTTTCTCTGCCCTCTCCTGGCCCTGGCCCTGGCCCAGCCCCTGGCCCATTTTTTTAATAGTTGCACTCCACCTCCCTCCTTCCTAGTTTGAGGTCCCTTGCAGGACACGTTTAGAAAGTGATGTCATTTCTGACGCTGGGGCCGTGGGCCCGGAGGGGAGGGGGCCAGCTGTGGGGGTTGGGGCCACGGGTGCCCCCCGCGCCGTGGCCCGGTGGCGTGGGTGGGCGGGGCCGCCGGGTGCTGAGTCAGAGGGGCCGGCCGGGGCGTGCTGGCGGCCGGCGGGCGGCGGGCGGGCAGAGCCGGCAGGATCACGGGAGCCGGCGCCCAAGCCCCATAGCAGAGCCCGCACCCTCGTGCTTAGCCCGGCCTGCCCTGCTCGCGCCCGCCACGCGCCTGGCTCCGCGCCGCCATCCGTGCTCTGTCCACGCGCCCCGGAAGCCCGCTCCCCGCCGCAGCCATGGTGGCTGGCATGCTCATGCCGCTGGAGCAGCTGCGGGCCATCTATGAGGTTCTCTTCCGCGAGGGTGTGATGGTGGCCAAGAAGGACCGGCGGCCCCGCAGCCTGCACCCCCACGTGCCCGGCGTCACCAACCTGCAGGTCATGCGTGCCATGACTTCCCTGCGGGCGCGGGGCCTGGTACGGGAGACCTTCGCTTGGCGCCACTGCTATTGGTACCTCACCAACGAGGGAATCGCCCACCTGCGCCAGTACCTGCACCTGCCGCCAGAGATTGTGCCGGCCTCACTGCAGCGCGTGCGCCGTCCAGTCGCCACGGCGACGGCCCCGCGCCGGGCCCCCCACGTGCAGAGCGTGCAGGGCCCCGTGGGCTGCCCACTTAAGCGGAGGCCGCCCCCTGCCCAGGATTTGGCCCGAGAGGAGAGGAGCGTCTATCGCAGAAAGGAACCCGAGGACGGGGCACCTGAACCCCCTGTGGTGCCTGCCACCACCCTGGGGACCCTGGCCAGGCCCTGCCCAGAACCTGCCCCAACCACAGGTCAGCTGTGCCCTTGCGATGTCCTGGAGCGGTGGGAAGGGGCTGCCTTGGCTGTGTGGGCCCCCTGGGCGCGCGCGTGTGCGTGTGTGTGTGTGTGTGTGTGTGTTGTATGGTGTCTGTGGTGTGTATGTCTCCCACTCACACAGGCAGGTGGCGCTCTCTGGGCCTGAGGCTGCTGGACGCCCAGCTCTCCAGACCCTCCTCGGACTCCTCCTCTGTGCTGAGAACCTTTCACTGGGCAGGCCCCCAAATGAGGCCAGGCGCCTGGGGCTGGGGGCGGGGCCTATGACTGGGTGTGGCCGGCCCAGCTGTCCCAGCTTTGGCTCATGGACTTTCCCCAGCCTGCCCTTCCCCTGATGCTACCTGCTGACTCCTCTTTGCCCAGAGCCATCTGCATGGTATGGGAGGGCACACAAAGGGGTGCATGGCCCCTGAACTGGAGGCCCAAGTTGAGCCTTGAGTTTCTGCCTGCAGGGGTGACCCCTGCCTGGCATGTGGGTGGCTCAGATGTGTGGTGGCTGGCAGGCTTCCTCTTCTGTGGGTTCTCAGCTGCCTGGACTGAAAGGTGGGCTGGGGAGAAGGCAGGGTCCAGGCCTGGTGGGCTCTGCCCAGGTGGGAACCAGCCCTTCCAGGGGCTCCAGAGATCCCACACTGTAGCCTCTGCAGGCCCTTCTGTCCCTGGACCTGTGCTGGCCATGTGTGGGGCCTGAGGGGGTGCTGGGGAGCAGCTCCTGGCAGGATCTAGGGCTCAGGAAGACTTAAGATCCTAGCAGATTGTGGGGTGACACTAGAGGGGCCTTCTGACTCTTGGAAAATGGGGCCAGCAGGGCCCCCGCAGCCTCCTGGGATTCAGTGGTGTTTCAGTCAGCACCAGCTCCCTGGTCACTGCCCCTGCAGCCAGGCTGGGCGGGATGGTGGGTGTTTTAGCCCAGCTATGCCCCCCCCCTACTTTCTCAGACTCGTGGACAAGTTGGCTGTGTTGGGCTGGGCTGGGTGTGGTTGTTTCGGGCATTGCTGCAGGGCCCCCCACCCCCACCGCCCCTTGCCCTGTGGCGGTGACTCAGTCTTCCCTTTGCCGCTAGGCTCAGAGTTTCCAACAGGAAATGAGCTCCAGCACGGCTGAGTCAGGATGGCGGGTTCCCCCTGTGGACCCCCTCATCAAAGAACACCACCCTATGGGCTCCCCCTGCCAGCCCCCTTCCCGCAGGCACTGCTGTGGGCTCCCTTGGTGGACTCTTCTTCCTGGAGGGCCCCTTCTGGGGGGGGGGGGCTCCTTTCCTGCACTTGTCCAGGGACCCCTCTATGGATTCCTGTAGGCTTCCCCCACCCCATGGGCTCATGAGTATCAGGAGATGGGGCTAGGTCTGAGTACAGCCCCCTGGCTGGCTCTCCCTTCCTCCATTCCTCCCTCCCAGGGAGTAGGACCTCCACCCATGCCCTGGAGCTGCCTATCAGGGCATCTATATGTGCCAGGCACATTCCTGTGAGAAACTGCCTGGCCTGGGAGTCCTGGGAGCTCCCACCAGTGGCCCGAGGGGGACATGTGGTGCCAGGCTATAGCAGTATGTGTGTATGTGACCCAGTTTTTATGCCAAACTACAGGGATGGGAGAAGTGGGAAAGACCCCACCTGAATCTCACCCTCCATCAGGGACCACCCAGCTTTAGAGGGGCCTTTTTCTGGGGCCACTCAGCAGCTCTCATTGAGGTAGGTCCCCTACTAAGCTTTTTGTGACAGTCCCAAGCTTTGCAGGTATGTCACTGTGCAGGCATTCGGGGTCCCCTGTAGACAGTAAGCAGGTGATGGTGGCTGCTCATCCAGAGGGCCAGCGGAAGAAAGGTGTGGTGATCCACTTCTGGAAGCCCGAGTTGCACCAGCTCTAAGACCTGGCTCAGACAGCTCTAGGGCCAGGTCAGCTTTGGGGTGTTGATATAGCAACACTAGGTTGGGGTTCTCTCCCTGGGGCAGTGGCTCAAAGGAGTCAGGATACCCAGGCCCTAGCTGGTGGGGGGACACAGGCGGGGTGGGGGTCTGAGCTGCCAGACTTTGGGGGGGCATGAAGACCTTGAAAGAACCCCCTCTGTTCCCAGGCAGCCACGTGGCGAGGCTGTGGGTAACCTGGAATGTGGGTGGGGTGACTGGGACAGGATAGAAGGCCTGTGGGGGAGCCTGGGAGGGAAATGGGGGGAGGGCTGGGGAGGGGAGGAGTCCGGGTGGGGTTAGCACGCAGGGCAGGCTGGGGGGCCCTGGGGACTTGGGTCTCGGTCTCTGGGCTGGGCTGGGCTGACCCTGCAGTCCCACAGCTCCTGCCCTACCCACTCACTGACTAAGGGGCGTGAGGAGGGGTTGCTTCTCCGCCCCACCTTCCCAGCCTCACCCTGCTGCCTCTCTCCTGCCTTCCACCCTCCCCTCTTCCTGCTCTGCCTTCCTCTTAGCCGGCTCCCGCTGGGCCGCCATGGACTGTTACAGCATGGAAGAATTGATTCAGCTGGGACAAGGTGGGCTTGGGGAGCCTGGGCCAGGGGAGCCAGGGCTAAAGCAGCACTGACTCTGTGGCCATGGGGGCAGCTGGGGAGGCCAGGCTGCTGCACCCTCTACATGCCCATCTGGAGCTCAGGGGTTTGGGGAACCAGGGCCCGCTCGCTTGAGTGCTGCCTTGGGCTGTGGCTGACCTAGGGTGTGGCATCTGGGAAGTGGGGGTGACGGCTGGCTGTAGGTAGTGAGTGAGTGGCCTGCTGCCATGAGGGGCACTCCTGGCCTGGGCACAGCCTCTGAGTCACACTTCCTCCAGAGTGCAGCAGGCAGTGAGAGGGCCAAGGCCTGTGCCTGCCTGACTGTCCCCTGCCAACTGCTGGCCAGCTGCTGCCCTGGGTGCTGGCCTCTGTGGCCTGGCTCTAGGTCTCTGGTTGACTTTAGGGCAGCCTGTGCCCCTGCTGGGCTGCTGGAGTTAGTTACCTGAGTTTCTGAAGGGTAGGACCACCCTGCCCTCCCTACAAACCAGAGGACCAGGCTACAGATCTTGGCCTTGCCACACACTCGCCGTACAGAATGCCTTGGCCATTCTGAGTGCCGAGGTTTGCTCATCTGTAGAACGGGTCAATAGCAAGCCAGTGCCGGTGAGTGGCATCTGACAGCTGGTGATTCAGCTCTGCAGGGTGTCCAGTGGCTGAGTTGGGGGCGGTAAGTCACCAGGTCTCTCTCCTGAGGTGTGTGGATGGCAGCTTCTCACCAGCAGCTGGGCATACTGATTGCTGACAGCACATTCATGCCCTTTGCCATCAGGCTGATCCTGACTCACGGTGACCCCACGTGTGTAGAGTATAACTGCTCCTTGGGGTCCTAAGGCTGAGACCTTTGGAAGCAGGTCACCAGGGTTTCTTCCAAGCACCCCTGGGTGGGCCTTTTGGCCGGCAGCTGAGTGTAGTAATGGTTTGTACCCTGGGAGGCTCCCAGGGCAGTTAGCGGAGGACCTCCCAGGCAGGGTCTCTCAGGATTGAGGTAGGATGATGCTCCCCACACGGACCGCTCAGCAGGAGCTAAATTCTGGCAGCCCCTCAGTTGGGCCAGCCTGCAGGTCCAGGAGGCCCCAGGAGAGAGGGCAGGACTGGGACACCACACACACACACACACCACACACACATACCCTGTTCCCATGGCCTGAGGCCCACCCAGAACCAGATGCTGTGGGGGCCAGCAGCTCTCTTTCTGGCTGGGTGAGTGTCCCCCAACACAAGTGCTACCTGAGGTGGGTGCTCTGTGACCCAACTCCAATGGAGGCTGCTAGGTCTCTGGCCAGCAGCCTGACCTAGGGGAAGTGACCTGTCCTCCCTGAGGCCAAGTGTGGTGTTGGGTGATGTGCGTGGGGCCTTCTGGGAGAAAGGAGACCAGCATGCCACCTTGGTTCTTGCAGAGTGCCCCCTACTCCCCCGGGTTGTGGGGTGGCGGGCCCTCTGTGTGAGCATCTTGAGCTGCAGGAGGTCCTGGGGCCTACTGCGCGTCCTTATTATTAGAATCTTGGGTGGGAGCGGGGTGGGGGGGTGTCAGGTGGCGCTGCCCAGCAGGACCTGGACTCTTGAGGGCAGCAGTGCGCTGCTCCGCACGTCATGTTCTAAGTCTGGAAGGGTGACGGCCCTGCACTCCCTCCCCGGGTATTTATAGCCCCCCCACCCCGGCCCGTGGTCCCCCTCCCCCAAGACAGGCGCTGCTGCTGACAGTGGCTGCTGCTGCCACTCCAGGCTCGCTGCCGCCTACGAGGGGCCTGTGACCCTCCCCACGCCTCTCGCCCACCCCTGGCCGTCCCGTGGGCTCCTGCCACTGTCCCCAATGAAGATCGTGCCTGGTAGGTGGGCGCCCAGGATGCCCAGGGCAAGGCCAGGGACCTGGGCTGGAGAGTAGGGCTCGGCCTGCCTGACTTCCCTGTCCAAGGCACTCGGTCTGAGGCCCCACTTGATGGGTACTGGGATTTTTGGGGGGGCCCCACTTGTCTCTGAGTGTGTTTGGGTCAGCTGCAAATGGTGGGGGTGGGGCAGGCGGCAGTGTAGGTATTGGCATCCGTCCTGGGCACCTGTCACCAAAGGGCACCCTTGGAGGAGAGCTGGGTGCTCGGGCACCTTGGGCCCCCTCCTTGTAGTCGGGCTATGGGGGAGGACTCGGGAGGCAGCCCAGGCTGTCCTGGGGGGGCTGTGTTGGTCGCGGCCGCCCCGCAGGCCCCTCCTCCCGGCGGGTGTGTCCGCGGGTTGGCAGGGGTTAAGGCCCCTGCTAACCTTGAGCGCCATCGCGGGCGCTGGGAAAGCTGAGCTGCTGCCGCTGACAAGGGCGGGCGGTGGGGACGGCGCCTCTGGAGGGCGGGAAGAGGCGGGCCGGGATCCCAGCTGGTGCTGCGGGCCAGGGCGAGACCGGGGTGGGCAGTGGAGAGCAAAGCAGCGCCGTCGCGTCGCTCGGGGCGCCCCATCCATGCAGGGCGTGGGTTAGCGGTTCCTGACGCAGGGCGCACACGCAGGGCGGCGCCCGCCTGCTCTCCCCTCAGCCGGGCCGGGTGGCCACGCAACTATGGACCCTTCTGGCAACCTCTTTCCCTCCCTGGTGGTCGTGGGCCATGTGGTCACCCTAGCTGCCGTGTGGCACTGGCGCAGGGGGCGCCGCCTGGCGCAGGAAGAGGAAGGTAAGCGCAGTGGGGGGCGACCAGGGCCACTGTCACGGCCCCCCACCCCAGCCAGGGGCTTGGGGCGGAGCGGGCAGAGCGGCCGCCTCCTTCCCGCCCACTCGCCGCTCCCTGTGCCCTCCCCTTCCTGTCCGAGCTAAACACCAGCACGTGTGTGCGAGCCGGGGCCCACCGGCTGCAGCCCCTTCAGCCCCCTGGCTGCTGTCCGAGCCACTGGGGAGCGCCGGGCTGTCTGGGAGGCTGAGGGGCTGGGCGGGGCGTGAGGGAGGCTGGAGGGGCCAGGCCGGAGTGGGGAGGGGGTCTATCTGGCCGGGGTTGTGCTGGAGCGGCCCACCTCTCGCCCGCAGCCCCTCCCAGCGCCCTGCCGGGAACTGGGTGAGCGCAGGTGAAAGTCAACACAGAAAGAGACAGGTGCAGCGTGCGCGCAAGCGCGCAGCCGGGGCCAGTCTGGGGAGCGGCTCCACGGGCGCAGAAGGGTAGCCACCCCCATCCCCCAACAGCTCCCCGGTCCAGCCCAGACCCTGAGCTCTGTCCTCTGGCGCCACCCTGGGCCCCGGGGATGGGCAGGCTGCCAGGCTCCCTTCTGCCCTCGCTGTCCTGAGGCCTCGCCCGGACGGCAGCCACCCGGCCCTGGAGCACCTTGGGCTTCACAGGGCACTGTGCGAGGGGCACGTTAAGGTAGTGTTGGGGAGTGCCACCCACTGCCCTCGCGGAGTCC